ATCTGCCAAGACTGGAGAGTGTGCTGGGGGACTATCAAAAGGCCTCTTTCAGGCAGCTGACTGTCAGAAAGACATTTCTTAGTGGTGGGTGCGAACACCCGTACAACCATTCCAAGAACAACTTCCAAGCTTCTGCATGGGCTCTCCATGGCAGGCAGTCAGGTCCTGTCACATGCTGTTCACTGAAAGCACGAGGGGCCTACATTTGCACATAGCAAGGGGTCCATCTGTCTTTCAAGGGCGTGTGCCCCCACAGTGCTTCTCCTGTTGTGTGATAGGGGTTTGGTTCAGCATCTTCTCCAGAAGAGTCCTGCGTCATCAAAATTGCATGCTTGCCATGAATTCCTTCTCTGCAACGGCCTTGTCAGAATTGAAAGGCTCACCATGTCTTACCATGGATGCCATTTCTGTGGAATTTATCAAACCATCCTCTCTCTACTGGCTTTAAATTCATCACCCGTGGCACTTGCAGAGGGGTTTGCTTGCAGTAAATCACCCTAAAGTTTCCTGTTTTTTTCACAGATCAGTTTCATGAATGCTATCACCTGCCAGCTGTTTCTCATCACTAACAAGCTTTCCCACCTCTTCCAGCACTTGTGTTCTCTGCTTGGTTGATATTCTTACACCTTTTTGCCGTCAGTTCCTTTGATGGCACTTCATTTTTCAAAACAGTTGAGATTGTCTGTTGACTTTGCCATCTTGTACTCTGAGCCCATGATCGGCCACAAGAATCACGATTGTGCTTTTCACAATTTTCTTCTTCAACTCAATTATTTTCCTCAAAACTTTTTTTTTAACCATCACGTTTGCTCTGCACTTTACTGCTTTCACGATTCCTGTTCCCTCGTCACCGCTCTGCACATCCTGGTTCCCTTCTTCCTGTGCCGCATGCTGTTATCCTCCTTGAGGCTGAGTACTTTCTACTTTCTTTTACCACCACGCTTGAGCTGGACTTTCTTTGGAGTCACGCTAGACTGAATAATAATGTATAGTACTGGGTGTGCTAAAAGGCACACAAAAAAGCTTCACAGTAAAGGTCTGTAGACAACCGAAATCTCGAGTAGAAGATGCCACAGCCACACATCAGAGAGGAGTGACGGCCACACCGGTGTTCGTGTGGGGAAGACGGCCAGTCACATCTGTTACCCGATGAAGAGTCCGTGTTTCTGAGCCGAGGTACGGCGTTACTGTAGCTGTGGAGTCGCGGCAGTAACAAGCCGTGGCAGCGAACCACAGTAACTTTTGCCCACATACCTGAGGTAAACGACCGCTCTGAAGGGCTGAGTTAATCAACTGAGGAACGGAGGGAGCTGCTGACAGAGACGCCATTCCATCCTCACTTCCTTTTCCTCCCCAACCACACTTGGTGTAACCGTTAAGGTCCCAACATGAGGAGCAGCACATGCTGCTGAACATCACAGAGGGCAAAAGGACAACACTTCATCTTCTTTTCCATCTGAGAAAGAAGCTTAATTAAGTTGATCAAAACATTTTTACTTAATTGTACCTACAAAAGCTTCTAGTATTCTTCTGTTAAATGTTCCAGCTCTTCAACAGCCACGAGTGTGCTGCTTTTACTTACTGACTTTGCGAAGCGCCGACGGTGCTGAGTGCTTCTAACACATCCTAGCAACCAAGTTGAAAAGCACCGAAAAGATTCTAGGAGACCTGGGCGTGACGGCACGCACACAGTCCCAGCACTCAGGAGGCTGAAGAGGAGAACTGCTTGAATCCAGGAGTTTGAGAGCAGCCTATGCAACAGAGTGAGACCACATTTGAAGAGAAAAGACAGAAAAAGATGCCAAGAAACTCCAGGTGCAGACATAGCTAAATATAAGAGATTGCCGTTATTATTCCCCTAACATCCCTTGCTCCACACAGAGGTTTCTGTGACCATGTCTGCATAATTTACATCATTTAATATTAATGTGAAGAATATGAAAGTTTTCAGTTTTTATTTCACTTTCATTCCAATAATGTGTAACATATACCCAATGGCTGGGAGCTGGAGGCTAAAACAGGAAGAAGTCACAGTTAGGGTGGAAACAAACACAATGCTAAGGACCTGAATTCCTTCCACAACAGGATGAATTTGGTGCTCCACAAAGAATCAGGTCGAACCTCCACTGCTGTCCTCATCACAGGAGTTGGTCCAGTTTGTTGGTCCTGTAAAGTGCTGTCTAAAACATGTGACTGTTTTTCTTCCCCTTCTGTACCAGGGATTTAACCTAGGGCTCCCACACACGGCCAGCACTCTAACTGAGCTACGTCCTCAACCCCTTCATTTTTTATTTTGAGATAGTCTGACTAAATCGCCTGGGCTGGCCTCAGACTTAAGATCATCCCTCCTCAGCCTGCCCAGCAGGTGGGGTTACAGACAAGGACCACCATGCCCAGCTTAATGTAACCATTTTCATCCTTCACTTAAAACTTACTGGCTGCAAACTGTAGTCCATCAAAGCACAGTAAACAGATGGAGAAGAGCAAACCAAAACAGTTAAGGTATCAGGTATCCGCAGCAAGTTCATAAATAGTATTCTTTCTTTGTAAATGAATACTGTCCAGAATTTCTCATTCTTAAATTATATACAAGTCCCTGATATTTTACTATGATAGTTGAGATACTAAGCATTTAAAGATCTGACAAAAAATGAATTTTATATATATCCACATATACTCCTGATTAGCAAAGGAATACACGTTCATTCTTAAAATTTGGTTCATATTAAATCACTCTTTCATTATTTTAACCAAAGTCAGGATTATGACACATTGGTGTGAATTGCTTTTATATTGACTATTACATGGTAAACATTTTCTTGTATCACTATTCTTTTAAAGTATGATTTTTTTAAATGGTAGCACATAGATGTTTTATGTAAATTTTCATTTTTATTCAGATACAGTTTCGAAATTATATTGTTGGATCACAGACAGCTGTAAAGTTCTGCTGTTTACCATCAAACTGTCATAATTCGTGGGACTGCTTTAAATTAAGGCATTAGCACAGCTTTTGAGGACTCAAACAAAAGTTCTAATTCTTACAATTTTCTGAGATTAGTTTTTCAGTGAGTAATACTTTATTTTAGAAAAATTCTAGAGTACCTTGTCTCAAAAGTATTAAGGCAATCAGCTCCTAGAGAAAAAAAAATAGACACTGTAGAGATAACTGTATCTATACTAGAATGCAAAATCTAAAAATTAGCACCTAAAGAATATTATCACTTTTAAGGCTTTACATATAAAATGTAGCCTTTTTAAGTGCCATTACGGGGGCTGGGGATTTAGCTCAGCAGCATAAGCGCCTGCCTGCCTTGCAAGCAGGCAGTCGTGAGTTCGATCCCCGGTTAAAAAAAAAAAAAGTGCTATTACTATTATTACAATCATTTTTAACACATAGGGAAACATTCAAAACGATTAGGTGCTGAGGCTAAGGTCAGATATGTAAAAATACCCAAAACACAATCTAGACGTGGGTCTCCAGAGATTACATGTGGTGTCTCTCCTGCTACTGCACTGTGCTTTCCATAAGCCACAAGTAACCCAACGTCCTCTGTTTTTACCTCACATTAAAAAAATTCACAGATTTGTTTTCTTAATGCTATTTAAGACAAATATGCCCCAAACAGACGTACTGACAGTGGGTGAGCCAACTAATACAAATGCACTCATAGCAGACAGACCCAGCTTAAAGTTAATGCATTTCCATTGCGTGAATCCACATACAGAGAAACATATTAGGCTGAGTATAATTCAATTTATAAATTCTCCACAGAAACAAATATATAACTACTAGAGTTGTTTTCCCTACAAATAGACTTACTGCAGAGATCACAACTGAGAAAAACAAAATATTTTTAAAATTACATAAGGGAAACCCTATTCTCTTCAAAACAAAACACATACCCATAAGTATTTTCCTCCCTTTGTCCTTCTACTAACCCCTCCCTCAATTTTCTTTCACTATGGAATAATTAAAAATTTTTTTAAAATGGTTTTTGAAGTCGGTAATTATACTTTCAAAAGCTACCAATAGATTAAATGTACTTATTATAGTTCATTGGATTTACTATAGTGCTTTAATAAACACAGCTTTACTTTTAGTAGTCTGTACACATTTACCCCTTGTCTAATTCTTTAAGACCAAGGACCACATCTTATTCATTAACCTATTATCCAGTGGACTTCTTATATAGTGTTTATTCAATAAAGACTTGTCATCTTTAACTCAATTTGTTTTTAAATCAATTGACATAGTAGAAACAGATAAAATACATCTAAGTCTAATAGCTAAAAACTATTTAGTACTGTATCATATTTCACATTCAGTATCTCTGAAATCAGTGTAAGTTACCGTAAGTGATATTCAGTGGCTTTTTTTCTTTGTAGTATATAAAATAATAGTATGATTGACAACTCTTAGATTTAATGAATAATCTTTACAAAAATATACGTTGAGAACATTTTTATCACACTGCTAAAAAGTGGTGATCATGGATCTTTACAACTACATACAGATGTGAGGAGGCATCCCTATTCTGTACACAATAGATGACTCCCAGGTGGGGGAGACAGCTCAGCGGCACAGCGCCTACCTGGCAAGCACGATGTCGCAAATTTGATTCTTGGTACCAAAAAAAAAAAAAAAAAAAAAAAAGGATGACTCCTCCTGACCCATCAAATCAGGGTTAGGGCAGTAACTGCATTTTATGCATCTTTATAGCTCTGGTATGTGCTTGCAGGGACTCAACAAAGTTGAACTAAATACACAGAAATATTCAATTTGCTCTAGCATATGGCACAGTGGTGCAAGGCTTGCCTGATGTGTACAGATCTGGGTTTGATTCCCTGCAGTCCCTCTCCCCAAAAAGAAATGAAAACAAAACATACCTATTGTTAAACTATTTAAAAAGTATCTACTGCCTACACTAGAATCATATCAATAAATAGTACATGAGTTGAGTGAAGAAAGGCAAGTTATAGAATGATAGTACAGATACCTTCTTTTTTAAAAAAATATCTTTGTGATAGGATCTGGCTCTCTCAGCTAGGCTGGGCTTAAATTTATGATCCTCCCGCCTCAGGTTCCAGCGTGCCAGGGTTATAGGCATGTACCACCATCCCTGGCTTCTATGTGAAAAAATTTTAAAACACAAAGACAATAAATTACTATACCAAGGACACACCCACAATATATAAAATATTTTGCTGAAAGAAAAAGGCAAAACGTTACAGCTGTTTATTCCATGAGGCAGTTAAAAATGGTGTTTATTACATCATTGTTGTTTTATTTTTCATAATGTACTTTAATGACATGAAATTTTAAAATATTACACCTCTACATATGTACATACCCATGTAAAGCATGAGAAAGAAAAGTAAAAAAATAAAAATAAAGCCAGCAGTAGAACAGGTTTATAAAATTCTTATCAACGGCTATGTATATATGTTAGTATAGCTCATACATCTTTCTAGAAAGGGAAAATGAATACTGTTTCTTTTTTTTTTTTTTAAACCTATCCACTAACATGGCAGAAATACTGTCGATTTAGACAAAGTACACTATGGTAAATTTGGAAACACAAAAGTAGAAAAACTGAGGAAAATATTAGTGCACCTGATTTAAGTGGTTTTTTTTTTTTCCTTTATTCCTGGAGGACAGAAGGCAAATAACATACAAAAGAGGAACTGTATTTTAAGAATATGTGTGACAGTGTTTCAGAAAGTAGGCCTTTGAGGATTCAAAAGAACACTATTCAAGTTAATCCTGTTAAAAAATTCTTTGTTAAGGAAACTTTAAAAATAAAATCTAAAAATTTGAAATTTAAGAACGAAGTTTTATGATTCATCTGGGCACATACACATAAAGATACACATATAGGGGCTGGGGCTTTAGCTCAGCGGCATAAGTACCTGCCTTGCAAGCAGGCGGTCATGAGTTCGATCCCTGATACCGACCAAAAGAAAAAGAAAGAAAGAAAGGAAATGTATGGAATTATATTTGTAAAGATACTGAAAATGAGAAGGTGAAAAACAAATCTGTGCTAATAGCAATGTTAACAGGTTAAAGAAAAAAATTTTAGTGAGTTCAAGACCAGCTTGGACTACATAGTGAGACTATTTCAAAAACAAAAACAAAAAAAGTTTTGTTATCTTTTAGTATCAGTGACCAATAATTAATACTTTCAGATCCAGCAGAAACCTTTTTTTTTTTTTTTTTTTGAGACAGGGTCTCAACTATGTAGTTGAAGGTGACCTGAACTAACTATATAGCCCAGGTTGGCCTCGAACTTGTGGCAATCCTCCTGTGTCAGCCTCCTGAGTGCTGAGATTGCAGGTATGTGTCACCACACATGGCTCTCCAGTAGAAACTTCATAACAAAAATATAAGTCCAGGTACAGACCTTTCAAAAAAAAAAAAAAAAAAACTAACTCAAAATGGATTATAGACTATGAATAAAACACAAAACTATAAAACTTTAGAAGATAACTTAGGAGAAAAATCAAATTAACCCTGAGTATGGCAATGACTTTTTAGATACAATGCTAAAACCATGATTGATAAAAGAAAAAACTGATAAGCTAGACTTCATTAAAATTAAAAACAGCATAGAAGCTCAACATGTTACTACAGAGATTAAAACAATAGTGCGATATTATTACATTTTTACCAGAATAGTTAAAAATCCAAAACACTGTCTTAGCTACTTTTCTCCTTGCTGAGACAAAACAGTGAACATCCACAAGTCAAGGGAGGGAAAGTTTACCTTGGCTCACAGTTTGTAGAACTTTCAGCCCACCACCAGCTGGCTCTAAGGGAGGGGCGGGGCAGAGGAGAAACAGTTCAGCTGGGCAGAGGTAGCAAGGCAAGCAAGCAGTGGGTGACCACACCTCTCTCCACCCTGATTTCTTATCCAGGCTCCGCAGGGATTCCAGCACTGCACCATCAATCAATCCTTGTCTCATACTCTACTCCAGCCACCTCTGAAAAAGCCCCACCTATGACCACATGAAGCTTTGGGGGAGACATTTAGTCACAGGTCATAACACCAACCATACTAAATACTGGCAAAGATGTGGAGCCACAGAATCTCTCATCCACAAAAACAGTAGTGGATTGGTGAGTTGCTCAAAAAAATAGACACAGGGTTACCATTTAAACAACCAATCATAGTCCTAGTTATTTACTCCAAAGAGCAGAAAGCGAATTCACAAAAAACCTGCAAGTGAATGTTTGTAACAATTTTATTCATAATTGCCTAAAACTGAAATCAACCAAGACATCCTTCAAAAAAACAAATGAATAAACACACGATGGTATACATATACAATGGGTTATTAGTCAGCGACAAAAAGTAATGAGCTCTCAGGGAGAACAGGATGGAAGCGAAGCCCCAGCCTGTGAGCTGAGCGGCACTGGCTGAGGAGAGAAGAGCCCCCCTCGTACAGCCTAGCAACCAGCTGACTTGGACATACAGCCTAGCAACCAGCTGACTTGGAGGAACTGTATCGCTTAACTTTGCAAGCCTCAAAGCAAGGACAATATGTAATATAGTAACTACTCTAGACTTCCTACTGGACTAACTACTTCCTACTTCCTACTATAGTAACTACTCTAGACTTCCTATTTATCACTGTTTCGATTCATTTTATTGTTCTATTTTATTCCCTTTAAAATTGAAACAAAAAAAGAAAGAAAGAAAGAAATCTCATATGCTGAGACATAAAATAGCCAAATACCAAACAGGCCATAATGTTAAGTGAAGCAAATAAGTCCCACAACTTTAAATATCATTTCATTTCTTTCATATGAGAGACTCAATATGCAAAGTACAAAATAAAAGACAGATAACAGGAATAAAAGAAAAAACATTATTGGAACACAGAATGCACAATATATCTAAAACTGTAGATCGATTTATATATTATCTGATATGTTTTACATGTTTTTTGGCCTCTTAGTCTGGCTGTTAATCTGTATGTATGATAATAACTTTATAAGGACTTGAAATAAATGAACCTGATGCTGGAAAAAAAAGGAGGGGTGGAGGAAAAGAAAAAAAAAAAGAATTGAGATGTGTTATGTATATGTTCCAATTTTCCGCAATGAATATAATCATATGGACTGTTTATATGTACTAATAAAAATTTAAAAATAAAGGAAACAAAAAACAAAACCTTGTCAGAGAATCAGTATGCTATCTACTTGGCAACATCTCAAAGTTGCTAGGCATGGTAGCACACGCCTGTAATCTCAGCACTCAGGAGGCTGAGACAGGAGGATGGCCATACATTTGAAGTCAGTCTGGGCTACGCGGTGAGTTCAGGGCTGTCTGAACTATATAGCAAGACCCTGTCCCTAAAAACCAAAAAATAAAAAATAAAAAGCTAGTAAAAAATTGGCACCCCAAGAAATTTATCAATCATCTGACTGTAATTCATATATTTAACATATATATAAACACACACATATATATCTCAAACTCTGGTACACCAGCTCTTGTAGTCAGGGGCTGTACACAGAACAGTTAAAATCAGGACATGGAATTTATAATATTATTTATGATAGTCACTCAGAGTTAACACAAGAAAGTGCAGGAAATCTGTCCACAATACTATATTCAGTTGAGGGCTTGAATCCCACAACGTCCTCCATAAGTCCAGATGAAAATCTAGAGCTCATGACAATGCCTCCCACGACTCCAACTGGAGGTCTACAGCCCAGGAGGACTCACGCTAGTGTCTTTTACAGATCCATGCTGGGAAGGGCCAAAAATCAGCTTTAAAAGCTAGAAAGTCTATGCCAGCGGGGTGAAGGAGCTGTGCTATAGGTTGAGGGTTCTACACTGGAGCTGAGAAGTCATGCTCCTAATAAAGACCAGGGCTGTCCTGAAAAGCACCACAGCCATCCACAGCGACATGGAGGTCCTGAGCTCCTCCAACGATAAACACAGTCAAGTACATGCCAGAAAGCCAGTGTGACCAATTTGTCCTGGAGATTAAGCGGCACACGTCTTTCCCTCTGGAGCCAGGAAGCGATGCTCAATGTAAGGACCAGAGCTCCCCAAAGTGAACCACAGCCACACCCACCAAGGTCCCTGAAAGGATTTTGCTCTAAAGAGGACGCTGCAGTGCTGACAGGCAAAGGTCACCTTTACTGCCCCTAGGCAATTTACCTGTGGCGCTAAACGAATTCCAATGGGCTACCTGTGCATCAGTAATGCCCCTTAGGCTCCACCCCAAACCTAAGCCACCTGTAAGCCCCCACACCAGGTATCCGGCAGACAGAAAGCCAGACCTCGGCGGCGGTGGTGGTGGGTCTTCTCTCCGCATTCTTTTTTTTTTTTTTTTTTTTGTCTTTTTCCTTTTTATCGGTACTGGGGATCGAACTCATGACTGCCTGCTTGCAAGGCAGGCCCTTACCCCACTGAGTTAAATCTCCAGCCCCTCTCTCCACATTCTTAAAATAAGGGCCACTTTACTTTATATTCTATCTTCTAACCAAGCAGAAAACTCTTTCGGTCCCCAGTTCCTCTAATGACAATGGTCGAATTCACACTGGGGAAGCTAGTCATGGCGAGCTCCCCCAACGGTTCAGACAGCAGCACCTAGGAGAAACCTGCAACACCCAGCTTCTCCTTCTCCACGTCTCTATTTATGCCGGCAACTTTCCTCAGGTGGACCATCTACACTCAGCACCAGGCTGATTTAATTCAGCGGGCGTTTGATAGAACTGTGGGGGACTGGCGGTGGCTGAAAAGATAAGAAGTCTGAAATATAAGTGACCTTTATTTGGAGACACCCACTGGAACACGTGGAGTGGAGGCATATAAGTAGCCTAGGTTTGGAACCTAAGGGGCATTAGTGATGCACAGGTAGCCAGCCCATTGGTATTCTTTTGGCGACAGAGGTAAATTCCTAGGGGTGGGGAGATGGAGCTCCTTGATTCCCCCTGAGGCTTTACTGGCTACAGTGTCTTGTCTGGACCAAAACTCTTTCAGTTAAATTGACCATCGGTTTTTAATCCATAAGACTAGAGAACTATTTCTAAGCCCATACTTAGAGCACTGTTTTTTTTTTTTAATTATGGGGGGGGGTTCTTTTTGAGACAGGATCTCGATATGCTGGCCTTGAGCTCACCTTGTAGTCCAGGCTGTGAGTCCAACTCACAACAACCCTTTTGCCTCAGCCTCCCGAGTGCTGGAATTACAGGTATGTGCCACCACTCCTGGCCCTAGTGTACTGGTTTTTTGAATTAGCATATTCATCAATGAATTACATAATGAATGCCACTATGAGGCCACTCGGAGAACAATCAGTTAATTTTTCCTTACTGGACAGCACTCACTTTAAGTGGCAACACCTTTCTTACTCTTTTACACTGCATTGCACAGAATGTCCTATTTTTTGGTTTTTTCAGTGCACGCTCATGATGGTTAGGCTGGTCTCAAACTCCTAGGCTCCTCCTGCCTCAGCCTCCCAAGTAGCTGGAACTACAGGATTTTACCTAGGCACCCAGCTCCTAGTATTTTTTCTTTTTTTTTCTCCAGTGCTAGAGATGAAACCCAAGGCCTAGTACATGCTAGGCAAACTACAGCTCAAACCTTATCTTTTAACTGAATGAGGTTTATAGGAACACTGAAAATATTAGCTAATCCTGCCTCATGAACTACATTTCACAAACAGTAAGGTCATTTTTCTTTTAAGGCCAATGTTCTAAAAGGTTTTCATTACAATATATTTTTTCTCATCCAATTTACCTTGGGTTTGTAAACAACAGAGTAATTATGCAACACCTCTGAAAGTTCTGTAACATAGTATTACATTTTTCCTTATACCCATTCTTTTATTCATGTATCATACATTTATTGAGTTTATATTAGGTACAGGTGTGTAGTCAGGTTAAAAACAGGTAGTCTCTGCTCTTGGATGCTTAACCTTTTTACTGGAACAGCCAGATAAACCAAATTATGACCCAGAGGATTATAAATCAGCATTTCTAACATATTAGTAAGTAAAGGCATATGTTCAATAAGTGTATGAGAAGCATTTATTTCTCTGATCAGGGTCACTTTTTGGAGAAAGTGATATCTGAGCTAAGATCTGCATGAAATAGAGTCAAAAACAGGCTAGACGTCTTCAAAAGGAAGTTCAAGAGGTGCCACATCCATCGTCTAGCTCTCCCATCTCTCTTACATGAAATGTTCATCAGCCTTCGGGACCCTTCACTTCACCAAGATCTCCAAGGACCTTGTCAAAGACAAAATTACAATTTAAAGACCTTACTTTCAGTTTTAGAATCTGGCAACACTTCATTTCATAAAACAAAACAAATGTTTCAATGGGCAGAGAAGTTACTGGTTTTATAAAAGGGCTGAGGAGAACAGGAACAAAGAACAAAAATCAGACTGGTCATTTCAAAGTTACTCTCCTTATCGCATGAGAAACGACAGAGAACAACAGAACAATTACTCAGTAACATCAAATTATTTCAATTTACTGCTTCTAAGTTTGGCGGACCACCTGGATGACTTTCCTTGAATAAGAGCAATTATTTCCATTTTGGCTAAACCTGGCCCTCTCTCCATGTTCTGATACGTACAGAGCTGGCCAGGCCATTTCTTTATCCCTTCAATTGGCCTTATGAAATGTAATTAGCTGAGGAGCTGATGTGTAATCTTTGAAGCTATGATAGTCAGTTTCCCCACCTGGTGACTCCCCAAAATACACTGCTGAGCTGCACAGGATGAAGAGCCACTAGGCTCACTCAGCCCACTGGGATGAACCTTGAGATAAGAGGGGATGACTTCAGGGCAGAAAAGTTTATGTATCAGAAATTAAGCAGATCCAGGACCCAGGCTCCAAAACATTAGACGCTATCTCAGTTATGTCGCGCAAATGAGTTTTTCTGCATACCCTTCTCTCTGCGAATCACAGAGGCGCTTTCAGGCCTCCTGCCTGGCAGGCATACAGCACCACACACACCTCACACCATTCCCACAGTCACTCATCCTCAAGCCACGCCCCTCTTCACCCAGTTAATAAATCACAGTTGGGCCCTGGGCTGTGGCCTTTGTTCCAGTGACCCACTATCTTGGCTGGATGTAGAGTCCTCTGGCTCCCCAAAACTGTAAGTACATCTTAGTGTCCTTATTCTCTCCATGGGGTGCACTGGAAGTGGTAGTTTGGAATGAATTTATTGGAGTTACAGTAACTTTTACATTGGATTACAAATGTAAACTTCCTCAATAGATTAGATCTGGGAAGGGCTCTCTCCACCAAGGATTAAAGATAAACAGATTAAAGCAGAGGGAAGTTAGTTCACTGTCATGCTAATTGGTCTGGTTAGAAAATCTGGCTCTCTCCTCTCATTTCTCTAAAGGTCAGATAACTATTTAAGTTTTAGTTTGGTGATGTGAGACTTCAGCATGAGTAACTCTAGTTTGATTTTTAGTCTTATCTGTTTGAACCCTGTGCAAGAGCCTGTTCCAAAACAGTGGCCTCCTATAATTTTTATTTAACCTCCACAAATGCTAAAAATTGTGGATAACTGTTAATCCTCACTCACTTGACTGCGACATTTAACACAACATCACCCCTCTCTCCTTAATCCTTTTCATCGGTTAGCCTTTAGAATACCACACTTACAATTTTCCTGCCTTCACTGACTAGTCCTTCATTGTCACCTTTCAAATACACACAAACTCCCATGTACTGCTTCCTTTGGTGATATCAACAACTACGATCAAAATATTACTATGCGCTTTGGGAGGCTGAGGAAGAAAAATCACAAGTTTGAGCCCCTGCTGTGAAGGCCTTGGGTTCAATACTCAATCCTGAAGGAAAATACCATGATAGCCAAAATTGCATCTAACAGCTAGACCTTCTCCTTCTGAAGACTCAATTATTGAACTCCCTCTTTCACACCTCAACTTGAATGTTTTAGAGGCAAGGCCTCTTAGCATGGCCAAGTTTCTAAACCACTGACCTCACCCTTGTCCGGCATACAAATCAGTGCACTTTTCCATGACAATAGAGATCACTTTATTTGCTCAGGACAAACTGCAAAGTAATCTTTGACTCTCTCTCATATCTAACCTTCCAGCAAAACCTTCTGGCTATAGTATGGAAACACATCTAGCTTCCAGCCTCCTCTCACTGCTTCCACAGCCATCCCTCTAGTCCAAACCACCACAATCACCTGGATTACTACTTTGGCTTTGTAGTCAGTCTTTCTGCTTCAATCTTTGCTTCCATGGTCTATGCTAAATACAATTTAAAGGACATAATTATTTTTAAAAGTCAGGTCATACCCTCATCTGCTTAAAACCCTCCCAGGGCTTCCCATCCTATTAATGTCAGAGACCTTTCAATCACCTACACGACCTCCTGCCCACACCTCTTTGGGATTTCATCTTATTACTTTCTCCTGTACTGCAGTCTCTCTGCCGTTTCCCAAACATGCAGGAATGCTCCTGCTCACAAGCCTTCGGGGTAGTTGTACTCTTCACCTGAACGATCCTCCCTTAGGAATCTGCTTTCTCTCCTCCTTCATCTCCCCAACCTCCTTATTTAGAAGAGAATCTTGCTCCCCTCCACCTGGCACTTCCCATTCCAGCTTCCCAGCTGGCTTTTATTTTTCTCCACTGCATCCGCCTGCATTCCACTTACTACAGTAGATATTTTATATGCTTTTTACTCCCCTTGCTTAGTTGAATAAAGCTCTATGGCAGAACGGATATACGGTACAGTGCTTAATGTCACATTTCAATACACTGCGACGGCAGCCACTCAACAGGTATTCCTTGGCCGAGTACAGGGGTGCTCTGGTTTTTGGTCCTCACCTCCCTGGGGACGGAGATTTTCCTGACTTTACAAGACTGGGCTAAGAGATGTCCTCGCCACGCCAATAATATCAAGTAGTTTTGTAATTCTATGTTTAAGCACTGGCTTCTCTAATGAGGCAGGACTGCATCTGTTTCACTGCTGTACATACCCAATGCCGAGAAGTTTAAAAATACATCAATTCTACAATGTCAAGAATTAAAACAATCTGATTATCAATACATTCATGGCCTTTGAAACTTGAATCTTTGCAAGAATAAAGATTTTCAAAAACAAGGAGTAATTTTAAAGAAACTAAATCGTTTACACATTATAAATCTGAGGGATTTGTATAGGGCTCTTTAAAAATTATTACATAGTATCTTTAAAGCCTGCAAGAATCGTGTTAAAGAACACTAGGAGTTCTTTTCCTTTTATTTTCAAGCAAAACGGACTTGACCACTTGCTTGCAAAACCCTGTTTAGGGTTTCATTAGGCTGAGAACAGAACAGTTCTATGCAAAAGCAAGCAAAACTGCATTTACATAAGGACCCTGAATCCATCCCGCGCGAGTCCACGGACAGTGCAGAGGGCAGCAGCGAGGAGCCCCCGTTTCCACAGAACCCTTGTCGCCTGGCCTCAATTAGGCCATTCCCTCCGGCCCGCGGGGTCCCCACTCCGACATCCAAGCCTCACCACAACCGCGGGGGTGCGCATCTGTAGGTCTTTCTCGCGTAAACGCGCACGGGAAAAGTCCCAAACAGAACTACGGAAAGGAAGCAACTCTACATGGCTTCGTCTCCAAACTCTCAGAGGAAACATAGGAAGAAAAAAATCCTTTCAAGGATGACAACGATTACAATACTCACCAGATAGACCAACCGACTCAGTCAGCTCCCGCCTCCAGAACAGTTGGTGTGTACGCCGCGACAGGAACGTCGCGGTGGCTCCTGGGGGCTGTAGTTTCTGTCGCAAACAGCATCGAAACTACATTTCCCAGAAGTCAACGGGGACGCCTTGACTGTCTATACCATTTAAGGGTTTTGGTGTAATAAATTGCCACCTTTTTAGGCTACTTCTTTTTGATTCAATTTTTAAAAGGAGTGTTGTCGAATCCTTTTGGCTGTGCTTATATGTGTGATAAAAATCTCAGGGTACTTTTATTTCTACTGCTTACTTTTCCTATCCATGTCCCAGGTCAACTCCAAAACGTCCCAGAACGGAAAACACCTCCCGCAACAAGCTAGGGACCTGCAAAGGCGCATGCGCTCCGTGCGCCGTCACGCATGCGTAGCAGACGGCAGCGACTGGCGGCTGCGCGCGGCGGATTCAGGGTCTGGAGGTAGCAGGCCTGAGGGCGGGGCTTTTTCCAATGGCTTTGCCTCCAAGGGTCGCGTCCTGCTGGGCGGGGAGGAAGGCGCTGGGGCAGAGGCTGCCCAGAGTTTGTGCCGGGCAGAGAAAGGGGAGGGGCTGGGGCAAGGACCCCCTTCTCCCCTCCCTGCTCCCGCCCTCTGGGCCCATCCCAGCCATGGGGCTGGGCGAAGGGGCGGGCTCTGCGCCTCGGGCCCTCCCGGTCCTCCACCTCCGGGCTCCGGGGCTGTCGGGGCTGCCCTATGCCCTCTGGCTTAGCAGCACTGGGCGAGGGCACAGGGACAGAGGCGGCGCCTCCCCGAGGGCCAGCACCCGCGGGGCCGAGGACGCTGTCCTCCAACGCCGCCCTCCGGGACAGCGACTTGGTGGAGACAGTCCCTCTCCGCCAGCTCCCCTTCAGGAGCGTCGCACCGGGGCAGGGTTCGGCGAGCCTTCCTGGGCCCCGGTCCGGCCCGGCCCGGCCCGCTGCTGAGGTTCGGGGAGGAGCTGAGTTGGGCGGGGACTAGTGCTGGAGGAGGGGCGGGGTGGGAACGCTCCGAGAACCGGTGGCTGCACAGACGGAAAAAAAAAAAAAAAAAAAAAAAAAAATCCGAATGGCTGGAGAGCGTTCAACTCTTGCCAGCCTTTTTGGGCAGAGCACGGATTTGACAGCTTCACAACGTGAGGATATCCGTTGACTCTGTGAGACAGAAAACACTTCCCGAGACTCCCTGTCCAGCAAAAGCAGCGCTGTAAGATTGCAACTTTCCAACTTTGTTTTTTTCAATCTGTCCGGAAGACCGCCCCTTCGTGTAGGAGAGAGTGAGAGGATGATTAATCGTGTAGATCAGTTCAAAACATTAATTTAAAAGACACTTCTGATTCCTAAATGAAACCCAGATGTATGTTTTCATGACGTCTCGAGTTCTCTGAATCTATTGGAAATTTCATTTTAAAAATACGAAGTGCTTTTGGGGCATGCTGAAAAGTGAAGAGTGTAAAGAAAAACTGATTGTCATGGCTGAAGGAGAGAATGAAGTGAGATGGGATGGATTGTGCAGTAGAGATTCAACTACTAGAGAGACAGCACTGGAAACCATTATGCAAATCATTTTGAGGAAAACCGAGTGTCTTCGATCAGTGAAAGAGACAACTCACCGTCCTCCAGACGAAGTTTCAAATGCTATTTCTTTGGATGAGCTGAATAAGCTTCTTGCACATCTGCTTATGCTGGCAAAGAGATGTCCCTTTAAAGATGTAAGAGAGAAAAGTGAATTTATTCTGAAGAATGTCCAGGTAAGGAAGAGTATTATAAAGTACAACTATAAAGCAGAATTTTTATTGTGATTATTCATATTGACTTTGTAAAAGGTTACTATGTAAACTCTTATTATAAATTTAGTACTTTAGAGCGTTCCGTAGACATTGGATTTGGGGCCAAAATTAAACAAGTAAACAAGTACAGCATTTCTAGAGTTGGGCAGAAACTGCAGTGTCCCTTGAAAAGTATGTCTGTTAGAGTTACCATTAATTTTGCAAGAAAAAATTTCTCTTTGTTTCTTTTATCATGTAAGGGTAGCCAACATGCTTTTCCCATTGTTACAACTGTTTCTGTGTAGAAATTTTCTAAAATGATAGAAGATAGTAAATATTTTCTCGGCAGCTTGTTAAAGATCATTGTAGAACAGTTCTTAAAAAAACAAAACAGGATTTGTTCTTTAAATGCAACTTTTAAAAAAAAGCTATATAAAGTAAAATCTTAACTTATAAAGCTAACATCTTCAGGTTGAGAAGTCAGACCGAGGCAAAATATGTTGACAGTAAATTACTCAACCAGTTTTGTCTGTGTTTGTCTGAATTGATTCTTTTCTTTTTCACATGCATACCTATTTAAACTGAGTGTAGCAGATTAAAAATATTGGGGCCCCCCTCTGCCCGGTGTTTTGTATACAGTCAATTGATCTTGTTGATAAGGTTTTTTAGAAAACCTTGCAGACTGCTCAGTAGCACTTTTATGTTTGCCAGTCCAATGCGATGTTGGAAGTCACGTAGGAGTGAGCTAGATGCCTTGCTTGTCTGCTGGCCTGCTTGCCTTCCTTCCTTCCTTTTTTCTTTTTTACTTCCTTTCACTTTTTTGAGACAGAGTGTCCTGCTTCAGCCTCCACAGGGCTGGGGTTTCAGGCGTGTGTCACCACGCCCCGCTCAAGAAATTTTTAAAAATGTTTAATTTATTTGGATGTATATTCAAGCTAAAATTGGCAGTTTTTCTGTACTGGCTTGAATTTAATTTAAAGCAACAAAATGTCATCATATCTATAAAATGAAAACTCTTTAAGATACTGGAGTATTTTTCTCTCACGAACACTTTGGAAACAATTATTATTATTTATTTTATCAGAGAGGAATTAATTTTCTAGATATCTGAAGTTTACTGTTTTAAGTACAGTTATTTTCTGTCTCATAACTGTAGTCACTAGAACAACCCTTTTTTTCCACAGTGCATGTAAAGTACTGTTGTAGAGTGTAGAGACTTTGTGACCCATGTGTTTTGAACTTGTGTCCAGGTTTGTATAGTGTTTCTGTCCTTTCCCTTGCTGTTAGTACACTTTACTTCCGTCTCTTCCTGAAACCTTCGTTGCTTATTTATATTAGAGTAGGAAACTAGTTAACCAATTTTGTTAAGAATTATATTGAAAATAAAAGTAAACAAGCTTTGCAAAGTACTGTGTCAAAGAATTGCAGTATAAATGTAAGTGAATGGGCACCCGAGTCAGGCTTGTTCTTAAATTCTACTCCTTTATTAATGTCCTGATGTAACCTCGGACAGGTTACTTGACCCTCATTAGCTTGGATTCTCTCATCTATAATGTGAGAATAAGAACAGAACGGTTACAAGAGTTAAATAGATATAAAGTACCGGAGTATGTAATGGATGCTGCTTCTTCCCTTTCACAAGTAAAATACACGGACTGTTGTGAAATGTATTTCAAGACTCATTCATTTGCAGAAGTTTCAATAATTTCCTCTACTGTGGCGATTTCCCATAGACTTACACTGTTTTCCTTTCTGCATATGATGTACTTTATTCCTCCCATGATTATGTATACTGTGCTATAGTGGCATTTTTATGTGTCTGTCTCCCTCAAGACTGTAAGTTCTCAAGAATATTGGCTGGGACCTGAAAGTTACAAAATAAATATGCAGTGGATGCCCAAATTTATCTTTGCCTTTTTTCTGTTTCTCTTCTGCCTAGATAAATGAAATTTCCATTTTAGGGAGTTTCTACTCCCACATCATGTATGCATGCCTGCAACAAATGTTAAGTGAACCCCTGGTGAATCTCTAAGAACTGAGGACCAGTGGTAACAATTTTTATATTCACTGGAGGGAGCCAGACCATAAAGTAGTAAATGAATAAAGACTTTAATTTTAAATAGTAAAGAAAGATTTCCCTAGACAGTGATTTAAACAGAGACTTGATGAACAAATGCTACCTAGACCAGGGAGAATAAATATGAAGGCCTCGTTGCAAGAAAGAGCAAATGAGTTCTAGGAACTGAAAGTGGTTCAATATGGTTAAAATAGACAATGACAGTTCTGTGAAAATTTAAGATTACATGCTGTGGACACAGACAAGTGTGGTCCAGTGTTTTATTAGTTGTACAGCTGTGGACATTTGGGGGAGGTACCAGAGATCGAACTCATGACTGTGTACTTACAAGGCAGGCGCTTATGCCACTGAGCTAAATCCCCAGCCCCAGCTGTGAATAATTTACATAGTCTCTCCTTGCCTCAGTTTTCAAATGTGCAACAGGAGGAGGATGTTAATAGTTCCTGCCTCACAATGTTGCTTTGAAAATAAAATGAAATAATGCTTGCAGCACATAGCACAAGTGAATCACTCATTAATGTTAGTGTTTTTGTTTTGTTTTGTTTGGTTTGGTTTGGTTTGGTACTGGGGATTGAACTCTTGACCTTGTGTTTGCCAAGCAGGCTCTTAGGCCACTGAGCTAAATCCCCAGGCCAGTGTTAGGTATTCTTAACTGTTATTTGGCAGGATCCAGATTTCAGATTGTAGACTTTATCTAGGAACAATGGGAGGCCACAGAAGACTTCTGAAAGAGATGATGACATACTTGATAATGAGTTAGAAGGATCATTCTGGAAGCAGAGTGGAGAAGGAAGTTCCAAGGTCCACAGTGTGTGTATCACATTAATTAGGAGATTGTTCCATGGATCTATGGCAAAAATGATGGTGGCGGGCCAGGGACATAGTTCAGTGGCACAAGCGCCTGCCTGGCAAGCATGAGATCAGGAGTTCAATCCCCAGTACAAAAAAATAAAAAGGTGGAATCCAGGTGTGGTGCCCACCTGTAACCCCAGCTCTCAGATGGTGAGGCAGGAGGGTCACCAAGACTTTGAGGCAAGCCTCCGCTGCACAGGCAGTTCAAAGTCCTGAACTACAGAGTAAGACTCTGTCTCAAAATAAAATAAAATAATAGAATGATAGTGAAGTAGGATGTAGTAGAGGAAAGTGAAAAAAGCAAATGGATTTGGGAGATATCAAGGAGTTAAAAACCACAGGATAATAGTATTTAATTAGATTTGGAAAATAATAAAAGTATGAGCACAATTGGTTCTGAAGTTTTTGGTTTGAACTGGCTGGCAATAGTGCAATCATTTCCCAAGACACTGAGTGGCAGGGGGTCAGTTTAGGAAAAAAATGAGTTCTGTTTTTACATGTTGAGATAAAGCTGCCAGTGAGACACCCAGGTAGAAATAGCTCAATAGATTCTGGTCCTGCCACCACTACTGTGGTTCTGTTATCTCCCTTGTCTGGGTCATCTTCCACCTTTCATTCATCCTCCGTATCACCACAAAGCTATTTATCTAAGATGAAAATCTGGCCAAGTTACTTTCTTGCCTGAAACCTTTTTTTAAGAGACTAGAATCTAAACTTTAGAATGTCCCATGATGTCCAACATCCTCTAGCCTTAGTTTACTGCCCCCCCCCACTTACTCCTACCCCTTGGGTTCACTGCTCCCTCCCTAGCATCAACCTCACGTGGAAAATTAAACAGAAATTCAAATGTGATGCTCCATAATGCTTTCTGTTAAACATGAGTAAAGCAGCAAAAGCTGAACTGGATAGGCAATTCTTGCAGCAATTCCTAAGACCTTTCCATGCTTGTTTTAGGTCAATTCAGATGTGTGTAATTGGCAAGGGAAAATGGTGAGATTGTCCTGGGATGGATTCAACTCCAAATGGCTAAAACTATTAAACCATTAAAAAAAACTAGCACACTGAGAGGCAGCGTCTTCTGCATATACACCTGTTCTCCATTTGACTTCTTATCAACATATTTAACTCTGTGCAACACAAGTCCCTGAAATACCTTTTTGATCCTTTTAATTCCCTAAACAAAGGAACAGAGATGTTAACCGAGGCCCACTTTACTAATACAATGCACTATCGAACTATAGTCTCAATGATCCATGTAAAATTAAGGTGGAAGACGTGAGTACATATCAGAAACTTATAAGGAGAATCCCAAGTAGGAACCTTTTCAAGAACGATGATTACTTAGGTTCTGAGAATCAAACCCAGAGCCTCAAATGTGCTAGAAAAGTACTCTTCCGCCGAGCTCCCTTGCAGCCCTCATTTCATCATTTTTACTTCTGTACTATGAAAAGAAAAAACTTTCCTTATAAACTTGCTAGTAATTAACACTGTATAGAAGTAATTTTAAGATAGGAAATTTAGACTTACGTTACAAAAACACTTTGTTATGTGGGGCGGCAGAAGCTTTCACTTAAGCAAAGTAGAAGAAATGAAACTTCAGTTATTAGGTACGGTGCACTTCACAGCTCTTTTGACTGCACTTTGGAGTTGGGGTGTCTTTTCGGTATCTAGCTGGGTAATATACAGGTTTGTACATCTGGTTTATTATCTCACATAATAAATCTGGATATCACACAATTTCAAGCTTGATTAATTGATTCATTGGCTCAACCATGGTATCATTTTGCTTCCTGTCTTTTTTCCTTAGCAGAGCAAGTAAAACCTTCCCTCATCGTTGCAAGGTTGCTGTAGCAGTTCAAGGCACCAAGCACAGCCACAGCTATCTAGAGCCAAAAGAAAACTTTCTCCCGTGTTTCTATCAGGGAAAAAAAGCTTTTCTCTAAAACCATCCAATAGACTCCTCTCAGTATCTGTTAACCAAGATTGGGTAACATGTTCTCTTCTAAATCAGTCATTGGCAAGGAAATCGGGCATCTGTATTTTTAGTTTGGAT